CAACCTGTGACAAATACGCTCATGCAAATTCTGTGCTCGCTTCCACGCTCCATTTCTTTGCCAACTATGTAGCTAAGCAAAATGGAACAAGAAATAGTGTCTTGGGAGAAATAAAATTGCTGGATTAGATACAGGCCACCTTTATATAAAGAAAAAAAGTTAAATTATGCTGCTGGTGAAATGAGTCCATCTGGGTTATTGTGGAATTTTATGAGAGACTGAGATAGCTGATTAAGATGATGATGCTTGAGTATTATCATTTTAGTAATAAATATTTCCAGAATCAAAGTGAATAATATGTAGGGAAGAGGGAAGCAAACTGCAGCCATGGGCCAGCAGCCTGGTTTTTTGTTTCGTTTTGTTTTATGGCTCTTGAGCTAAGAATAATTTTTAAATTTCGAAGCGGCTACATTTTATTTTATTTTATTTTATTTTATTTTTTTAGGCTAGTCTAGTGAATACATTTTAAATGCTTATACAAGCACTGAAGTGATAGCTTCAATTTTGCCTGTTGGCACACAAAGTCTACAATATTAATTATCTGTATCTTCTAAAACACAGTTTGTCAGCCCCTGGGATAATAAATAGTAGATATAGGCTGGGCATGGTGGCTCATGCCTATAATCCCAGCACTTTGAGAAGCGGAGGCAGGCAGATCACCTGAGGTCAGGAGTTCGAGACCAGCCTGGCCAACATGATGAACCCCTGTTGTAAAAATACAAAAAATTCTCTGGGTGTGGTGGCACATGCCTGTAGCACCTGTAATCCCAGCTGCTTAGGAGGCTGAGGCAGGGGAATCACTTGAACCTGGGAGGTGGAGGTCGCAGTGAGCTGAGATTGCACCATTGCACTCCAGCTCGGGCAACAAGAGTGAAACTCCATCTCAAAAAAAAAAAAAAAAAAAAAGAATGTATAGTCTCCTGGGTCAAAGAGATCTGAATTTGGATTCTGCCTAGATACATCATTAATTCATTTCAAAATACTTACCAAGTAGGTATTCTTTCTTCACTTGGCTTCCAAGATACCACCCTCTCCTGAATTTCTTCCGTCCTCACTCACCAATTCTTACCAATCTTCTTTGCCAGTTGTTCCCAGTCTTCCTGATCTCTCAGCACCAAGACCATGGCTCAGGTCTTGGTCCCACTCCTCTTTTCCACCTGTACTCACCGGGTGCTTGTGCTGAGTTCATTCTTCCCATTTTATTTACTAACACCAATGTGCTGATGACTTCCAAATTTATACTTTTAGCCTGGGCCTCTCCCTTACACTCTATGGTCATAATGCAACTGTCATCTTTAATATCTCCATTTGATGATGAACATGGATCTCAAACTTAATACATGCAAAAAAGAGCTTCTGATCTTCATCCCCAAACCTGATTTTTCTAGAGTCTTCCTTGTATTGGTAAATGATAACTTCATTCCCCCTGTTATGTCAGCTTCTTCATTGGAACTAGGCATCGAACTTGTCTCAGAGCTGATATAAAGAATAAACGATCCTCAACCGCTGATACTCTTGAGGATCATTTATTCTTTATATCAGCTCTGAGACGAGTTCGATGCCTATTCTCAGCAAACTATCGCAAGAACAGAAAACCAAACACCGCATGTTCTCACTCATAGGTGGGAACTGAACAATGAGATCACTTGGACTCAGGAAGGGGAACATCACACACCGGGGCCTATCATGGGGAGGGGGGAGGGGGGAGGGATTGCATTGGGAGTTATACCTGATGTAAATGACAAGTTGATGGGTGCTGACGAGTTGATGGGTGCAGCACGCCGACATGGCACAAGTATACATATGTAACAAACCTGCATGTTATCCACATGTACCCTAGAACTTAAAGTATGAAAAAAAAAAAAAAAAAGAATAAACGAGATAATACAGTTTTACTGCTTCTCATAATACCTACCACATTCAGCATTCGGTAAGAGTGAGGAGAGGAGAGCATAACCTTCCCATTCTTTCATCTAATGGCTATGTTCTTTCCTTCTCTTTCAGACCCTTACTATCTTATCCCAGAACCATTACAAAAATTTAGTAACTGGTAGCCTTGATTTAGTAGTAAAGTGCTAAACACAGAAAATATTATTCTCCTCATTTAAAGATGAGGAAAATGAAACAGTCAAGATGCCCTAGTCTCCCCTCTTAGCAAGCACCGAAGTTGGAATTTAAACACTAGCCCATCTGAAAAGCCAGTGTTCTCCAGGCTCATCTTCTGCAACACAACCTTCACCACCTTACTCTCAGGTGAAGAGCAGACCCTACGAGGCTAAATATGATAACAAAACAGGGTAACTGGACTATAGGAGACAAGAGCAGGGGTTCTTCAACCGAGCTAACATATCAGAATTCTCTGAAATTTTTATGCAGATTCCTGAGCTTTGCACTAGAAATACTGAATCAGGTCGGGCCCAAGAATGTATACATTTTTAAAGCTCCAAAGGCATTTTTGAGCAGTCAGATTTAGGCACTCCTGCTCTAGGGTTTAAAAGGAAGATTTCATAATATTTAGAGCCAATAAATATAATACAATAACCTACAACTCTCAAAGAGAAACCAAAAACCATATTTTCCAATATATAAATGGGAAAAGGGCATAAAAGGAGGATTTACAAAAGAGGAAGCAAAGTGGTTAATAGAAATATTTCAAGTTATGAGACCTACTTATATTCAAATAATACAAACTTCTAAATGTTAATAAAATGCCATTTTAGCTGCCAAATTAGCCAAGATTTTATTAATGCAGATACAATATTCCTGTGAGTATGTGATGAAATGAGCACTTTCATAAACTACTAAGAAAGCAAATATTGGAGCCATCACTTCGAAAAGCAATTTGGTAGCAAGTACCAAAGTCTTCGAAATGTCAGTAGTCTTTAATTCAGAAACTCCCTTATACAAATATATCCAATAAAATTATCCAAAAGGAATGAAAAAAATATATACTGCACCTAAAAGACATTTATAACAATCATTTACAAAAGCAAAATAAATAAAAATAAGTGAAATGTTAAACAAGAGAAAATGTGAATTATTCAGCATCATTGTATTATTAAGCAGTTATCAGATCTTTCAGAATACACTATATTATTTCACTTTACACAAATAAATAAATATATATGCCAGGGGGAAATGTTTGAGTGTCCTTACATCAAATTGTTAACAACAGAGTCTGTGAGTGGAGTGTAATATTATTCTAGACATATAAATTTGTTCAGACAAATTATGCTAAATCTACAACTCAAAATATGATGTTTCTTCTTTTTAGAAGGTTCTACCCAGCTTTCTATGCTGGTAAAATATTTTTGTTTTAAGAACTAATGCAAGTGTCATCTCCCCTAGAAAATCTAAGTGTTTTTTACCCAAGCAGTGATCCATTTATCCCCTTTATTTGTTAGCATAGATTACCTGTATTTTAGCACTTACTTGCTATTCAAAAATTATCTGTTGCTGTATTTTTTCCTCCTAGCAGACTATGAGCTGCCTGAAGGCAAGATCTGGGAGTCCTATATGGTCAAAAGTGTTTATTAAATTAAATTCCTTGAATGATAGAAAGAAAGATCAATGGAAACCTTCCATTTAGTGTCTGTGACTCCATCACAAAGAATGCTGTGCAAATTGCTAAGAGGGTAGATGACTGTTTTTACCACCAGAAAAAAAAAAAAAAAGAGAGAGAGAACAGAAAATGGTAAATAGTTATCTCATATTGATGAGATGGTGGATATATTAATTACCTTGATTATAGTGATTATATCAAAATGTATATGTGTATCAAGACATCAAGCTATGCACCTTAAATATATACAATATTTATTTATCAATTATACCTCAATAAACGTGAAAAAAAAAGCTGTGAAAGACTTTTGGCTTCTACTTAGGATATAGAAAGCAGGAAAGAGTAGCACTCCTAGAGGTACTAGAACATAATGCTAAAGAATCTGCAAATTTGGCTGGGCACGGCGGCTCAAGCCTCTAATCCCAGCACTTTGGGAGGCCGAGACGGGTGGATCACGAGGTCAGGAGATGGAGACCATGCTGGCTAACACGGTGAAACCCCGTCTCTACAAAAAAATACAAAAAAAATTAGCCGGTCATGGTGGTGGGCATCTGTAGTCCCAGCTACTCGGGAGGCTGAGGCAGGAGAATGGCGTGAACCCGGGAGGTGGAGCTTGCAGTAAGCTGAGATCTGGTCACTGCACTCCAGCCTGGGCGACAGAGCGAGACTCTGTCTCAAAAAAAAAAAAAAAAAAAAAAAAAGAACTGCAAATTCACAGCTTTTTATTTTTATCTTTACTTTTGTAACTAATCAGAGAACTGAGGTCGCAGGACAACAAACTGGTCCTAAATAAAAAGTAAGAAAAATGCCTTCAGGAAGAGCCAGGACATGAACACATGTTTTCTTAGGATAGACGCCCCCAGTAACCATACAGCCTGTTGATGATAACTTAACTAATGTTTTAAAAATTGGTAAAGGCTGAGTATGGGTTAACATAAGATTATGGAATCCCTGTAAGCCATAGAGAAATGGGATTCACGCTATTCATTGGCTCTTCTCAACAGACTACAAATTTCATCAGCTGTAAGATGATTGGAGGCAGGGTGAGAATCCTAAGAAAAATTTCTTCATGGCTCATATTTCAAAGAGAAAAATAGCAGCCAGTGTAGGATTGGAATAAAGCCTTACAGAGATTCTTCACTGTATCTCTTCTGTAGAACACATACCTTAAGCTTGTAAGAAAAAGGCAAGAAACAATGTTGGCCTTGGGACAGCGGTGAAGACCCACTGCATCTGCGGAGAAGAAATAAAAATAGACGCTCTATCTCTGAAAGAAAAGCAAGAATACACGCTGAGCTCAGATAAACAGGTCTCTTGCAGTTTAGGAAAGGGCAGTATCATGGAGAAGGCACCACTATCGGGGTATTCAGGAACACAATGCCTATGTGAAAGTGAGCCTCAATTCAAACAGCAGAAAACACTCTGTTCCTCTCCTCAGTCAGCAGCAGGTTCCTGCTATGAGAGGACAAGAGCATGTGAAAAAATCATCTTATAACATCAGAGAAAAGAAAAGACCTAAACCTGACGGTGGCGCAGATCCTGAGGAACACGTCTTGCACATGAGTCTGCAGTCTAAACACAACGTACCTCTAGAACTTAAATCTTATTGTGCAGGAAAGGTAAGTTATATAATTTGGATATTTCTCCCTTCTAAATCTCTTGTGGAAATGTAATCCCCAGTGTTGGAGGTGAGGCAGGGAGGAGATGTTTGAATCATGGGGATGAATCCCTTGTAAATGGCTTATACTGTCCCCTTGGTGATGAGTGAGTTCACATAAGATCTGGTTGTTTAAAAGGGTGTGGCACCTCCTCCCTCTCTCTCTTGGTCCCGCTCTTACCATGGAATATGCTGGCTCCCTGTTACCTTCTGCCATGGCTGTAAGCTTCCTGAGGCTTCACCAGAAGCAGATGTCAGCATTATGTTTTCTGTAAAGCCTGAAGAATCATGAGTCAATTAAACCTTTTTTCCTTTTTTTTTGAGACAGAGTCTCACTTTGTTGCTCAGGCTGAAGTACAGTGGTATGATCTCAACTCACTGCCACCTCCACCTCCTGGGTTCAAGCATTTCTCCTGCCTCAGCCTCCGGAGTAGCTGAGATTACAGGCACCCACCACCAAAAGAAAGTAATAATTTTTGCATTTTTAGTAGAGACGAGGTTTCACCATGTTAGCCAGACTGGTCTTGAACTCCTGATCTCAGGCAATCCACCCGCTATGGCCTCCCAAAGTGCTGGGATTACAGGCATCAGCCACTGCCCCGGGCCTTTTTTTTCTTTATAGGCTACCCAGCCTCAGGTATTCTTTATAGCAATGTAAAAATGGACTAACACAGAAAATTGGTACTGAGGAGTGGGGCATTGCTATAAAGATACCTGAAAATGTGGGAGCAACTTTGGAACTGGGTAATAGGCCTGAGATAAGAAGACTTTGAAGAGTGCAGAAGAAAATAGGAAGAAGAGGGAATGTTTGAAACTTCTTAGAGGCTGGTTACATGATTGAGACCAAAATGCTGAAAGTGATATGGACAGTGAAGTCCAGGCTGATGAGGTCTCAGATGGAAATGAGGAACTTACTGAGAACTGGAGCAAAGGTCACCCTTGTTATGCCTTAGCAAAGAACTTGGCTGCATTGTGTTTATGCTGTAGAGATCTTTGGAAGCCTGAACTTAAGAGTGATGACTTAGGATATGTGGGAGAAGAAATTTCTAAGCAGCAAAGCATTTAGGATGTGACCCGACTGCTTCTAACAGCTTATACTCAGATGCAGGAGCAAAGAAATGACTTAAAGCTGGGATTTATATTTAAAAAGAAAGCAAAGTATAAAAATTCGGAAAATATGCAGCTTTGCCATGTGGTAGAAAAGAAAAGCTCATTTTCAAGGGGAGAATCTAAGCAGGCTACAGAGGACCCACTTGCTGGAGAGATCAGCATGATTAAAAGGGAGCCAAGTGCTAGTAACCAAGACAACAGGGAAAGGCCTGAAAGGCATTTTGGACATCTTCAAGGCAACCTCTCTCATCACAGGCTCAGAGACCAAGGAGCAAAGAATGATTTCATGGGCCAGATCCAGGTGCCCACTGACCTGTACAGCCTTAGGACACTGCTCTCTGCATCTAGGCCACTCCAGTTCCAGCCTCACTCAAAAGGCCCCAGGTACAGCTCAGGTCATAGCTCTGGAAAGCACATTCTGTAAGCCTTGGTGGCTTCCATATTGTGTTAAGCCTGCAGGTATTTAGCACGCAAAAGTAAAGGAGGCTTGGTAACTTCTACCTAGATTTCAGAGGATATGTAAGAAAGCATGGGTGACCAGGCAGAAGCCTGTACAGGAGCAGAGCCCCCACAGAGAGTCTCTGCTAGGGTAGTGCCAAGGGAAAATGTGGGGTTGGAGCCTCCACACAGAGTCCTCACTGAGACACTGCCTAGTGAATTCACTATTAGGAATGGGGCCTCTACCTTCCAGCCCCTAAAATGGTAGATCCACTAGTAGCTTACATCCTGAGCCTGGAAAAGTCACAGGCATTCAACTACAACCCATGAAAGCAGCTACATGGGCTTCACCCAAGGAAGCCACAGGAGTGGGGCTGCCCAATGCCTTAGGAGCCCACCCCTCATACCAAGATTCAGGGCAAAGAATCAAAGGCGATTATCTTGAAACTTTAAGATTTAATGACAGTCCTACTGGACTTAAGACTTGTGTGGAGCCTGCAGCCCCCTTATTTTGGCCAATTTGACTCTCTTTTAAAATGGGAATGTTTAATCAGTGCCTGTATCTCCATTGTATCTTGGAAGTAAATAATTTATTTTGATTTTACAGGCTCCTAGGTGGAAGGATATAAGTCTCAGATGAGACTTAGGACTTGATGTTGGGAAGAGCTAAGACTTTGGGGGACCTTGGGAAAAGATGATTGTATTTTGCAATGTAAGAAGTACAGGAGATTTGGGGGCCAGAGGGAGAATGATATAGTTTGGATGTTCGTCCCCTTCAAAGCTAATGTTGAAATCTAATCCCCAGTTTTGGAGGTGGAATCTGGTGGGAGGTCTCTGAATCATGGGAGCAGATCCCTCATGAATGGCTTAGTGCCATCCCCTTCATAATGAGTGTGTTCACATGAGATCTGGTTGTTTAAAAGAGTGTGGTATCTCCCTCCACTCTCTCTCTTGCTCTCACTCTCACTGTGTGACATATTGGCTCCCTGTCATCATCTGCCATAATTGTATGCTTCCTGTGGCCTCAACCAGCAACAGACACCAGCAACTTACTTCCTATAAAACCTGTAGAACAATGAGCCAATTAAACTTCTTTTTATAAAATAAATTCCCCAGCCTCAGGTATTTCTTTATAGCAATGCAAGAATGGCCAAATACCATAAGAATATCATTAACAAATCTCAAACTGAGGTTAATTTTTGACTTAAATGACTCAAACCAAAGACTATCTTCCCCCAAAATCCTGGCAAAATTCACAGTATACCCAATTGATTCACAAAAATTACATATCTCAGTCTTGTCATATAAAAATATTATGAGACATACAAAAATATAAGACAGAAAGAAATAAAACGTAATGTCAAGGAACAGCTCAATCAATGTACCAGACTCAGAAATGAAACAGATGTTGAAAATGTCAGGGAATTTAAAACAACTGATTAAGACGTTAAAGACTCTAGTGAAAAAGATACATAAGTTGCATGATCGGTTGAATGAATTTAGCAAAGAGATCAAATTTTTAAGAAATAATTAATTGCAAATGTTGGAAATGAATAAAAGTGTAACAGAGATGAAGCATGCCTTTGATGGGCTCATCAGTAGATTTGATGCAACTGAAAAATTAATAGAGAACTTGAAGGTAGGTAATTAGAAATTATACAATCTGAAATACAACATACAAAAAGAGCAAGAATAGTGGAAAAAATAGTAGGTCACCCTAGAGCTATTCAAAATATCAAACTATTTAACATTCAGTACATGTCTTTGGAATTCCAGAGAAGAGAGAGAATGGGACAAAAGAAATCTTTGAAGAGATAATGGCTGAAAATTTTCTAAAATTAATGAAAGACATTAAATCACATATCCAGAAAGCCCAGAGAATATGAAACAGGACACACACACACACACCCCCCACTATATATATTGTATTTGAACTGCTGTAGAACAAAGGCAGAAATAAAATCTTGAAGGCAGCGAAACTGAAAAAAGACATATTACATCCATAAAAAAATAAAGACTTTTTATCAGAAGCTATATAAGCCAGAAGATAATGGAGTAACATCTTTACTCCAGAAGATAATGGAGTAGAATCTTTAAAGTCTTGAGAGGAAGAAAAAAAGTACTGTAAGGTAAAATTCTATCCATGGTGAAAAGAAAATGTTTTTAATGAAGGAATCATAAAACTTTTTTAGTCAAACAAGAACTGACAGAATTTATTACCAGCATGCCTGCAGTACAAAGGAAATTCTCTGGGCAGAAGGAATTAACCAGACAGACATTTGGGTCTATGAAAAGAAATGAAAACTCCTAAAAATTGCATATAAGAAAGTACAGATAAAGCCTTTAAAAATTATTTTTTAATTATTCATAAAGATTATTTTAAAATCTACAGTAAAATAATAGCAATATGTATATTCTTTGTATATCGTGTATAAAAGTAAAATGACTGACAGTAGCACAAATGTTGGGAGGAGGAACTAGGACTCACTCTCGTTTAAGGTACTTAAACTACACCTGAAGTGGTATCATTTTATTTCTTTTTCTTTTTATTTGAAACAAAATCTCATTCTGTTGCCCACTCAGAGAGTGCAGTGGCATGATCATAGCTCACTGCAGCCTTGAACTCCTAGGCTCAAGTAATCCTCCCACCTCAGCCTTTCAAGTCGCTGGGACTGGAGGCATGTGCCACCACACCTGGCTAATTTTTATTTAGTTAGTTACTTTAGGAGATGAGTTCTCATTGTGTTGCGCAGGCTGGCCTCAAATTGCTGGCCTCAAACAATCCTCCTATTTCAGCCTCCCAAAGAGCTGGGATTATAGATGTGAGCCATCATGCCCTGTTCGTATTTGAAGATATAGATGCTGATTAGCCAAAGATGCATACTATAAACCCTATGGCTACCACTGAAAGCATTTTTAAAAAGAGATACAAATACATAAGCCAAAGTGGAGATACCATGGGATTATGAATACTCAATTCGAAAGAAAGTGGAAAGTAAGAAAAAAAATAAAGATTGAGCAAATAGAAAATAGCTAGCAAAATAGCAGATATTAATCAAAGTATATCAAATAATTAGAGTAACCATAATCAAAACACACATAGGTGTATTAAAAGATGGAGATTATCAGACTCGATAAAAAGCAAGATGCAATGTTATGTTTTCCATGCCTTCAGATACAAAGATATACTAAGGTTTAAAGTAGAAGGATGGGAAAAGATATAACATTCACAAACTAATTTTAAAAAATTAAGTAACAATACTGCATCAGACTCAGTAGGCTTAGAAATAGGGAATATTACAGGGATAAGTTTATTCTCCAAGAAGACATAGCAATCCTGAATGTTTAATCACCTAACAATAGAGCTTTCAAATATATGAAATAAAAGCTGATAGAACTGAAAGGAGAAATAGA